GAAATGTTTGTTGTTGGTTTTTTCGATATTTCTTTTTAAAATAATGACATTCCGAGCTCTAATTTCCATCCATTTGTGAAACAATGGTGGTGATGATGTTCGAGACATAAGTTAAAGCTGTTTTAATAAACTTATTTTTAGAGTTTAAGATAAATATTGTCTGACCAAAAATTGCTCAAGACTGTTCCTACTTACCCTGCTATTTTCTGTAGTGATGATGATGATGAGGAGGAGGAGGAGAGGAGGAAGAGAGGAGGAGGAGGAGGAGGAGGAGGAAAGTTGAGATGGAAGAGGAGATGGAAAAAGGAAGAGGAGGTGGAAGAGGTGGAGGAGGAGGAGGAGAAGGTGGATAATGATAAAGACGATTTACCATACAAATATAGAGGAAGAGGAGAAGGAAGAAGAGGAGAATATGCAGGAGGAGGAGGAGGAGTAGAAATATAATGACGTAGACGATTCACCATACAAATATACAATCTCAGAACTAAAACCGTTTCAATCACCTTTGTGGATGTGACTGTACAAATGACAAACTCGTGTTTCTACTTTCAAAATGGAAACTTCTACTCCTGAATTTCTTTTCTTGTTCTATCCGGTATAAAACTTTTAGGAAGGCTCAAAAGTATGGGATCTCAGTCAAAGGGGTAAATTGATGATGACAGTGGCGGAAGCGAGATAAAGAAGTTTGCACCCACTCCGACCAGTGCGGGTGTGGCCAATTTTTCGCGTTCGTTTCTTACTCCAGAGAGCTGGGATTGATGGAGACTAGGAGAGTTCACGACTCTACTGGATAAACGGTAACAGGGTAAGCTAATGAAAAACAAAAGGATGAGGCTCGTCTCGTTATTTCTTTCGACTCATCCCCCCGTGATATCCATCTGTCTGGCTACTGGGTTACCCACCTATAGTATAGGTGTCTGTCGACTCGCTGATATAAACGCTTTGGAACGTATCTATAGGTCAACCCAACCATCCATCGACCGGTCCATCCATCCACCATTACACAAAAAAACACAATATATTATTATCTACCCTTCAATCTACATAGTTGTGTAATAATCTATGTAAATATCTGTGTTGTAATCTATGTATCAATCTAAGTATGTGTCTTTGTATATATTTATGTGTGCATGTATCTATGCATCTACCTATAAATATCACACATCATATTTCAAATTCAGTTTATTTATTGTTCTTTTTGGTGTAGTGAGCTCCAGTAGTCGAGTGAGTTGTGAGATAGTAAATTAAGTATTTAGTGCAGTCATGTTTTAATAAGCCATATTGCCAAGAAAAAGTAAAGAAATCAACGAAATGGTCCATGGGAAAAGACACGCTTTAGTATTGTGTTTGGTTTTGTTTGCTGGGGATTTTTTTAGGAGGTGGAGGTTGTTGGTTTTCTTTGGGGGGGTGGGAAGGGGGGTTCTCTGGTAAATTCTTGAAATTGCAAGCTTTGTGATTTACAGTATCGACATGGTATTCATTGATATCGCATTGTCCAGCTAGCACAGAAAGCCTGACCTAATCCTTTAGGCAAAACTATTTTTCAGAAAGAAGATTAGTTCTAGGCCATGAACCTTAGCCTCAATCAGTCACACCTATCACAAAATCTCATGAGATCTAAGATAAAAAGAAAAGCTGTTGTAGTAAGCTAATACTGACATTTTCAAAGTGGAATACCATGTTGGTAACCAAAAGTGTATCAAGAGCAATACTAGAGTATAGCTCTTGGAGCATGTCTCATTCAAATACGGTCGAATCATCTCAAGGGGCCACCTATCCAAGCAAGACATTCATCTGTATAAATAGTACCCCCCCCCCCTGCCCCAACACTTTTGCGTTGTGTGTGCGTTTGTTTGTTTGTTGTTGTTTTTTAAATAATATAATTTGGGCGATTTTAAGCACAAGGGGGCTATCTCGAAAAATGCTGTTTTGAGAAAATTGAAGGTAAAGTTGTTGCCCTTGGTTCAATTTCTTTAAAAGACAAGAAGAGTTTTCTCTCTATAACCAAACAAATATACATACTAATAAAACCAAACTTCTCGGACAGGTAGGGCAATGCCTACCTTTGTTGTATGTCACCGAAATCTGGGTCAGCCCGCTTGTTCTTAAAAGCGATCGTTTCACAGTACAAACTATCCGTTTGTCTTGGACGACCACCTTTCTCTTTGACAAGATGTTTAGTTTTAGTAGAGGTTTTACGGCGCTCGCAACTGCATAAGGTCATATGTGCGCCAGAGAAGTCGGAACGGGGAATCAGGCGTACTCTGCTCACCTTTCTAGCCTCAACAGCACAAAGTCTGCTTCGACTATCAAGGCACCCCGGAAATAGGTTCACAAGAGATTGACAAACATACTAAAGAAGTAGAGGAAAAATGACGACAGCAATGATCAGGAAAGAAGAAGCAGCAGTCCCCTAATGTTGTTCCTATGATGTGGCCGTCTTGGTCAGTTTCAATTACACGACAAAATGTACATAATTGTATCAGTCCACCTCCGTCTTGTTGACTCATGAAATGTAAGATCTAAACGTTCGAGGTTCATCATTCATATCTATTGCTCAGACACTCTCTAAATTCGAATGAGTGCGAGTGTGTGTGTGTGTGTGTGTGTGTGTGTATGCGTGTGTGTGTTTGTGTGTGTGTGTGGGGGGGGTGC